GTGTGAACTCTCAAAGGTAAAGCTACCCACAGCAGACAGTTTTGCCTTACAAAACATTCTGCCATTGAAGGATTTCTGGAGAAAACAAGGGCTGTGAAACAAACTTACCAAATGCATCATGGTTAAACAACATCAGCTGTCCTGCCAGCTGCCTTAATTTCAGTGTTCCCAGTACACCATCAGGTACTGCATGATCTAGCTCTGCTCACGACATCCAGACAGCCCAAGCTGCACAGTGCTCAATAATTGGAGCTGCAACCAGTCATATTTACAGCTTCCCAGTTTATTAATGAGCCAAAACACATTAAAGAGCCAACAAATCACCACGCTAGGAGGAAGAAACCTACCTAACTGGATTGTATCTCCTCATCTCATTTCAGTCTTGACCTTCAGCTTTTGACATTTTTCACAGGTGGGGCAGACAGAAGTTAATTATTTCAAAGCTGCTTCCAATATTCAAGTATTTTTAATCATCTGCTCCCTCCATCAATCACAATCACTGCAAGTGCCTTGAAGCCCTTTTCAAATTGATAATGCTTTTCAAAGAACGACTTGGAAAGGTTTTTCTTAGAGTAGATGTGCAACAGTTAACCAAACGTAACACACTAGCTGTGATTTGCAAACGACAGTTACAGAGCAAAACACAAACGTTGCTAGCAAACTCAATCCAAACTCTTGTATTCCTATACACTTCAGATAACTCTTGTATTTCTTTTTAACCAGAAACATCGATTTTAACCTTGAATAAAACTATGCTCTGATCTTTCAAAGGGAGATAGGGCTTCTAAAGACATGTAAAGACTGATTAGAATAACAAAATATACTTAAGCACCCGTTTCCACCCTTGTGGGCTCTACAATAAGACAATCAGCGGAAGCGAGTTACATATCTTAAGCTGCAGGCATCAAAATTAATTATTTTACAGCTATGCATGACTCAAAAGGGACCACTGTAATTAGCATAATAAGCATTACTGCACATCGTGAATTTTATGCTTTTTTTTTTCCTTTAAGTTTATAAATCCCTTTTGGACATAATTGTTTTGTTATTGTTATTTGTAAGAAATAACAAACAAGGAATATGAAATCTTATTAAAATGTATGCAATTAAACATGGACTGAAGTGTATATAATCCTCCCACAATTTCAGACTTTATGGACAATATCTATCATGTTAAGTCTTTAAGTATATTAATTGCATGGATTTCAAGTACCATTAACATTCATTCAATATTGTTATTCCAGAAAGCTTCCAGCTAGGATTAGGACCTTTTGGAAACAAAATTTAATTTGCAGAGAAGATAATCATAACACTTTAATCTATCTCAATGTATTAAAAATGAAAGGAAAAATCAGCTAATATTGTTTTTAAACACTGGAGACCTGGCCCACGGCTCACAGAAATTAAAACCAATCTCTCCATTTACAGCAGACTTTAGAGCAGCCCACAAATGAAATGGGGTGTAGTTCACTACGCACCATGCTCACTGCTGTGGTGAGGCATGAGCTAATGCACCTTTTCATGCTCTCCTCACCTTAGCTGAGGCCCCTAACTAGGAGAGGGAGCAGATACTGAGTCGGAAGCAGACAGCACATTAATTGCCTCTTTTAAGATTAGCACGAAAGTGTGATATATAATATTTAACCCCCACAAAATACCCTCTGCTCCCGCACCTTTTGATCAGCTAAGCACACTGCACAGCGACAGAAAAGAAGGATTTTGCCTTAAGCCAACACAACATTTATAATCATTTGACTTTGTACAAACAGCACAGTTTAATTTTGCTTCCGTTTTTGAACGTGGTAGTTGTTTGCTTTTGCAAATGCTACAAGGCAACATTAAGTTACTGGTACCAGATACCACATTCTTGATTACATCTCAGAGTCAATTTATGAAACAATTTGTTAATACATGGAAACCTTGTTGATGAGAGGGATTTTTTTTTAAAGACAATTCTGTGCAAAGTCATTCTGAAACTTACGGCACTCTCTCAGAAATTTACATTATTCAACCCCACATTCCAGTATTTTTTCCCCCAACTAATTACTGCTCTCCTTCCCAATTTTCTTGACATTTTGGTAGTCACAATACATGCAACTTCCTTCCATAGATTATTTCACAGCACTACAAGTACCTCTAAAACAATTGTCATTTTCTACTCAGAACTTACTGAGTAAGAAGTGAACATTTTCTCCATTCAGATCTGTTGCACAGCCTGATTAACATCAGTAAGTTCTCCAGTATCCTCAATTCAGACAAAGGAAGAGTGGTGAAAGAGTTTTAACTGTCCACAAATTTAAGCATTAATTGAATCACCTTTTCAGAGAGGGGATGCACATACTGGAAACACTGCCTGAAAGAAGGAAGGAAAATTCCACTGAAAATTTGACCTGCCACTTACCATTGCTGAAATAACAGCTGATAACAAATCACACCAACTAATCAGTGGTAACTTCTCCTTCCACATTAGCTGATACTGTCTGCCTGTGAGCTGTTGCCATATCCATACAAGTTGTTTATACACATCACTGACCTGCTCCTTGGGACTCAAGCATTTCTATGATCCAAAGCTGGAGGAAACCTTTTGGTAATATTATTGTGTTTTGAATAAACTTTTGAGCACCACATGAGGACTGAATGGACAGGTGCTGCCTCAAGACAGCCTAGGTGTAAAGTTCTCTTCCACAAAATCATACCAGTAATCAGTCTGGAAGGCAAGGTTCGAACTGGTGCCATAAACACATAACCTGAGCAATCAAGGGATGTAAAACAGACTTTAAGCAGGTTTTAGCACACCTAGAACATTCTAATTAACTAACCAAAGGTTTGTTGCTTTTTTTTTTTTTAAGTAAAAAAAAAAAAGGCAAACAGAAGACCCTCAGAAGACACATTTCATTCCATTTACATGTGAGAGGAAAGCAAACAAAGCACTGCTGATTACATGCTACTTATCAAGGTTTGAGGATACAAGGAACGTAAACTTGAGTGTAAATTTTAGCCAGCAAAACAAGCACACGTAGATTTGTCCAAAATAAAGGAGTGGACAGAGTGCAGTGCATCTGGCTTATGGCAAACCTCACATCATAAATGCCTGGGATAAATATCTGCTGACCAAATCCAGATTTGTTCAGGACTCTCCAAGTAAGAGCAGTTTTGTTTAGAAGCAAACTTCATTGCATTAACTTGGATCTATTTCGGAATCTGTTTGTAGCCTATAAGGGACCCATGCACAAGAAGATTGCAATCCCTGCTCTCCTGCCTACCTGAACAGCCATTAGCCACAAAGACAAAAGCAAGCTCTAAAAGGCTAAAATACAGGAGGTGAAAACTCCTGGATCTATTAAAATCGTTGGCAAATGTTTGGAAGTAGAACAGGAGAGCACTTGAAGGAATAGTGATGTTGCTACAGCTTCAGTGCTTTTATTTTCTTCCAAAAAGGTGGTGAGTGACATCAGTATACACAAAGTACATTAGCCTCACAACTTTACAGAGCTCCTAAATTCAAATGCAGAGAACAAGTCTATGAACACTACCCAGAGCTTCTCTTCTAAATAGAAATCAGAGTTAATGCTGCTGTAGAAAGAAAGATGCTACTGTATAAACTCGGAAAACAGGAATAATTAATATTAAAAAAAGCTCTTAAGTGTGAACAAAGGAACACGATTAGTCTGCTAAAAGAATGTACAGCCAAGCTTCCTGTAATAGGAAGGTTTGGACATTATGTAGTACCTTATATATTCCTCAATCACATGGTTATCACTACACAGGTAGAACAAACTGCCTAAAGTGGCTGACAGAAAATGCTTTGATTTAGCCAGCTATCTTTCAGAAAAAACAACTAAAATTTATCTTCTTAATCACTAGCTATACTTTAAGCTTCCAGACACTTAAGGGTTATAGTGCAATAACTTCATTAAAATAAAACCAAACCATAATAGTAATCACAGCACTTTTGATAACTGTCCTCATTTCTTAACTGGATCACCACTCCCATTTTCCTCCAAGTGCTTGTGCACCTTTAAAATGCTTTTCTCATACAGACTGCACTTCAGGAAAGAGCTTCATTACATTTTTGCAAGTCCGCCCTGAGTCTAAATGGCTTTATACCTGGATGGGGGAGACATTTTCACACACACAGAGCACAGGGAGTAGCATCAAACATTTTTGAAATTGGATATACATTTACCTTCCCCCCAACCTCCTTGGTTTTTATGGATTTTTTACTTCTTTAGTCCCCAACTCTAGAACTGGCACTTCATAAGCTCAACTTCTAGAATGCCTGTTTCTTTTCAGTCTCTTGACATCCAAGTCATGTTTTCTTTGCTTCCATCAGCAAATTTCTTGCAGCTGTAGCTCTTCTCCACCCAGCTGGAGCTCAGCCCACTCAAGCCCCCCATGAGATGGTGAACTTGACCTGAACAGGTCCTTTCATTTTTTGTACTTCCTTTTATTTCTGTTGTCAGAACAGATACTCATCTTTTTCCTCTCTTTTTTTCCCTTTCCATCTATTAACTCTTAAAGCAAGGCACATGACTGCACCTTGGCTGGCTTGCTGTCAACTATTCCTGTCACTTTTCTGTAGTGATATCAGCTGCTTCCTTGGATGTTCTACCATCTCTACTCCTTCTCTCATAAAAGAACATTAATCAATTCTCTCTGCTGCTTTTTAAGCATTCAGACCACACTGCTCTGTCACTTTCAAAAGAAAGCAATTGTGCCCTGCGACCCCAGCAGCTAGGACTCCTCCCCTGCAACACAGCTCATCACGTTCCATATAAATCAGTCATTTTGTGACTGCTTACTAAAATAAAATTGGAGCATTCAGCTTGCCCAGGCAAAAGTCTCAGTAGTCAAATCCAAGTACCAGATAAATCCTACCCACGACTGTAACACGATGGAAAGCACAGCAATAACAGCAGAGCAGCGAGGTCTTTAGTTACAGTAAATGAGGACTTGCTCAAATTCAACAGCCACAGAAACAAAGGAAAGAAGCTTCTTACCTCTGTAAGGCCTAAAGCACGCAGAGACCTCCAGGCAAGACCCCTTTGCCTCCCCCTGCCAACCCTTAAATGAGGTCTGGGAAGGGGTGCATCCTGGCTCCTCCCCTTCCAATCACTCAGGTACACTGCATGCACCTGAGCTCCCTGGTTGGCCCTGCCTTCCCACCAGGTGCTCAATCACTGCTTCAAGCTGTGACTCAGCATTTCTGCTACAAAGACTCTTACAAACTTTTAGCATTCCTTAGTCTAGTCAGTAGTGAGGGGAGAGAAGATTAACCCACCTGGTACTGACACACACTTTGCATCATCTTCCAAACCCTTTCTGTAACCTTTTATGCATTTCAAACATTTTTGTCCCCCAGTTGCCATTTCTGTGTCCTCTGGTTGTATTTAAGCAGAACTGCCTGATGCCTCTGGATTTTTAAACAATTTTGCAGCTTGAAACAAAAATCTACTTCAAACAAAATCTGCCATGTGAATTGCCTTTTTTATGTGACAACTGAGCTAAGTCAATTCTCCAGTCACACTTACCCCACAGGTTAATTTGCAGCTCCATTGTGATGTTATCTTTTTTCATCTAAGCAGTTGGCCAGAAAATTAGTAAGGTGAGGCACCTTTAAAAACAATAACCTCCCACATTCTCCATAAAGCAGCAAGTAAAATGAACAAAAGAAAAAGGTATACATATCAACACACACCAAAAAAAAAAAAAAAGTGAGCTGTCAGCAATTGCAGGCATCCCAGAGACCACACAGATCAGCATGAAACAAATACATACTGGTTCAGTATTTTTTTCCAGAGACTCCTGCCATAAGAAATAGGAAGACGCCATATTCATGTTTGTGCAACTTCTGTATTCTAAACTTAAGGAAATGGCAATTACATGTGACAGAATTTAGATGTCCAAAGGACTGATGATTCCTTAAGCAGATATTCTTTTTAGCAATGTTTTAATAGTTTGGGTTTTTTTTTTTTCCTTCATATTTTATTCCAGACCAATATCACCACCTTTTTTTTCTTTTTTAAGACAAAATGATGTTTTAAATAAAATCCTGTTGCTATTTGTTTCTGCCAATTTTGTTCTACTAAATTCAGTTTTGCCTACAGCTGCATTTCAGTTCTGACTTATGGCTCTCACAAGGCAAAGGCAGTTAAATCTCATGATACCACATTTACTTAACCTAAACAGAATTAAGAGTTTCCCTCAAAGCAAACTTGTTTCCTCTAAACCATATTTCAGGTGATGAAGGAATGCCAAAAAAAAAAAAAAAAAAAAAAAAAAAAAAAAAGAAAGAAATAAAGAAAAATGCAAGTCACAGATGAGAAAATAACGAGCGTCGTTCCACTGCATTTGCAAGCACTTGCTGTTTTAACAAAAATCTCCCCCAAAAAAGGCTCAAAACGAATCTTAGAAAGTCTGGGGATAGAATGTTGTAAGCATTGGACAGATTTCAGCAAAACAAATGACAAAATGGCATAGGAGAGAAAAAATAAACATAATTTCCAGTTTGTGGAGCCTCCTACCCAGGGCAGTCTGTTCCATCTCCCTCTATGACCAGCTGTCCTCGTCTCTTTGTATAGGTTCCTTTCAATTACATCTTACCACACCTAGCTAAGCTCTCGTTTTTACTCTGAGTTTCCCCAGTTCCAGAAATCTGGACATACATCACTACAAACAGGGAGAAACCTTCTGAACAGCACTTCTGTCCTTTTATTTTGCTCACATTTTCCTTAAGCTCTGTATTTCTCAAAAGCAGCACATCCACAAAGGAGAGCACACTGCCACTCAGCTGAAACAACACAAACTGCTTTCTTTTCATTTTCCCTAATTTAATCCATACATGTGGGAGCAATTCAAAAACACCTGACACTGGTATTTGGGTGTTCATTTTCAACCCGATCAGCCCTGAAATGCTGTTTGGCATTTGTTTCTCTCTTCTCTCAGCCATAATACAGAAGAAAAAGAAACTTGCATTAGAGTAATAGATCCCCATTCAACTTTAAGGCAATAGAGTTCCAAAGAATAACTGAAAAACACAAGGGACTATTTTACTGGCAGTATGTGAAGATAGGCATTAGTGATGTTCTTTCTTCTCTTTCATTTCCTCCTTACTATACTTTTCTACAATACTTTTGTTTTAATATACTTTTCTACAGTGCTTTTACTTTCTTTGGAGCACACAAGCAGAGGAGATCCCAAAACAATGCACAGAAGCAGACAAATCTTGCAAGACCTCCCTAAATGAAGAAAGGGTAGGGAGGTGGTGCAAAGGAAGAAAAATCAGAACATGCTTAAATTCTGACCTCTCTGACGAGCTTGTAATGAAAATGAGACTTGCTAACGAGGTGCCAGAAAGCCATTCTGCCAGCTCACTTCTCCACCTGCAACTGTGGAAAGTTTGCTACAGTTGTACTTCTAAGTAAGCACCTGGTCCTTCCTAGGACCAGGCTTTTCCACCTGGCTCCAAATGAGAGCTAGCTTTTTCCTTCAGCACTCCTACAGAAACAAATGGATGAGCTAGGAAACATACCGTTTCTGAGAGACAGTATTGGTACGTGTTGGCTCTAAACATTGGAACTAAGTACTGTGCTGATTTCATGTTGCTCAGATACAAGGAAAATTACCAAGAATGTTGCTGATTCTGTGAGCTGATAAAGAATTATTATATCAAATAGCTTCATTTTCCTGTATGGATTCTGGTTTTTTGACTTAATGTAATTATACAAGAACAGAAATTGTTTCTGATCAAATTGCACTAATGTTGAGGTAAATTTCTTGAGGTTATAGACCCGTATTCAAAACTAAAAATCTAAACACTGCAGAAGAAATAATAGTTCTTGAAAAAAGTATGCAGGTTCCTCGTGCCCATCAATTGTTTATTGAAATATGAACAATGACATGTACCTATCATTCCCAAACAAATCTTCATAAGATAGTTCTAATTCACTACAATTATTTCATGCTTTGAAGAGGATTTGGGTTTAGAATTGCACATTGCAGCAAGGAGTTAGTATCTTTTATGTCAAATTGTTCAGAGTATTCTGCATTCCTTCAGTGGGCATTTAGCAGTTCTTCCTTCAGACAAAAGTTATCCAAATCCTTACAGACTGGTCAGGAATACTCACTCCATATGAGTGGAATGAGAGGAATACGAGTAGCAAATAAGTGAAATACAATCTCATTATCAGCCTTCTCTGAAAACTGATTTGAATGACTAAATGTATTCATAAACACAGCCACACTCCTTGCTTACCTGCAGGAAATATACATATTTCATCCAATACGTTTATAAAAGGATATGCATGTGTCTTCGTGCTAGTATTTTGATTTTAGCAGTATTTCAATATGTGAATATCATGTATTAGATAATTTCAACATCTAATAACTGCTGACTGCATAACATGGATTGAGCCTGACCCTTTATGTGCAGAGGAGAAAATTAAGAACACAAGTCACCTGGATCAGGATCATCCTCCTCCTCCCATTCTTTGGATTAAAAAAAAATTTTATCACAATACATGCTTTTTTACATATTCTTAGGTAAATATACAAAGAATATAACCATATATAGACATATTTCTATTCCTTTGTATGTACACTAAGAAAGGCTTATAAGAAACCAGCATTTACTCTCTGGAATTCATATTTTCTAAATATCAAAGAATCCTAAATGCTGCTACTCACTGGTGTTAAAGGCTTAATAACATAAATCCATTTAATAAACACATGTACACACACACAAAAAATAGCCTTATAACCATACTACCTTCCTCTTAGTGGACTGTTGTTCTCATTCTCCTATTTACCTAGTTCACTTAATACATCATTCCAGCCCATTGCAAATTAGGATCACAGTAAACAAGCTAAAACCATCTAAATTATGTACAAGCTAATATGTTCCCACCATTCATTAAGGGTTCCTCGGAACTAATTTTACTTTTTTGAAAAACAGGATAAACAACCCAGCTCCCAAACACAATAAAAGCAGAAAACATCTGAAAGCTATGAAACAGGAGTGTCAAAGGTGCACCTCGCCCTGGCTGGGCTGCCTGAGAGCACTAGGAGGTAATGACTTAGTAATAGGGGGAGAGTGTGCTCTGGTCAAAATTAAGTAAAGAAAGCAGCCTCCTAAATTAGGCCTTTAAAACATATGTAATCATATAAATAAATATCATGATTCTTTGGATCGTTAAGAGACAACATTAGAAAAAAAAATTGCTAGGTCTTCTTGTTTTTCATTAACCATAAAGAAAAATGGGTCCAAGGGGAGTAGTTAACTACATTAATTAACCTTAACCCCTCATTCTTTGCCCCAGCAGTGTTTCCCCACATTTTTCCCCACAGTACTTCAATATCTGGTGATGGGGCAGAGATAAGAAGCACGACATAAGTATTTTCTCCTATCTGTATCCACACAATGTCTTGTAAATGAGAGGGGAGTTCTGCTTGTTTACCCAGGTGCTCTTCCAACTCTGCACCAGAGGGACTTCACAATGCATGTCAAATGCCCAAATCCTTGGATTTCTGTGCTGGATTTTAGATCTTCTAAATTCAGACCAAGCCCGAAGCTCTGGCTCCAATGGAAATACTCAAAATTCTTGGAGTGTTTGAAAACTACAGACTGATCAAGATATACAGTTTTTAGAAAAATGAATTTGCAAAACCAGTGCAACACACTGTGAAGTTACAACCCTTTGTAGAGGTGATCTTGAGTGTCCCAGAAGAAGGTGATACAGCAAGGATACCTGTCAAGCTATTCAGAGGAGTCAGAAAACTGTCAAGGACCTTCATAAAAGCACCAAGATCTTATTGATACAAGGTAATTAGTGAGAGTCATATTTTATATGAGTTACCTATGCTATGTAAACAAAGTCAAGTCTCTTCACATGCACTGACATACTAAAAGGGAAATTCTCATTAATGATCTTGGTACAATGGTAGAATCATCCCAATCAGGTCAGTTGCTTCAATAAAGCAATGATGTGCTTTTAAAGGTAAAAAGATATTCCTTATTTTACATATTACCCTATA